CTCTCTGGTCGAGTGGAACATTTTTCTTCTTTGTTTTTCTGGTAAAACTTTAGGACAGGGCCTTTTCCGAATTTTGATATTTGTTTGCTGCTCTCATGGTAAAAATCTTTGTTGTAACTCCGATAGTGATAATCGATCGGGGGGAGCCGGAGAAAATGTTACCCACTTATATTTTGAACAATTTTCTTTGGTAAATATTCAGAAGTACTACGTATTATACCCAAAACTACGTTTTCTTGTTCAGTAATTTACAAAACTAGCTGTAAAAAACTTGTATACAAAGTTTTACATATATATCAAGGGAGGAGGGACGGGGGCTAAGATCTTTATAGGAAAAAACATGAAAATTATAGCGGGGAATAGTTTATGCTTTTGGTTTATTAAAGTTCATTGAGTTTTTTATACTTTTACTCAATAGTTCAAATTTAGTGCATTTTTCCCTCAGAGTTTTATAAGATCCGAAAAAACTTGAAAAAAAAGATAGGTCGGTAACATTTTTTCGGACTCTCCCCATTGATTATCATTGTCGTAGTCACAACAAAGATTTTTATCCAGCAAGTAGCAAAAATATATCAGAATTCGGAAAAGGCCCTATTCTAAAGTTTCACCTTCTTTTCTTTGTGAAGTACGTACAGCAATTTCGGTTCAAGTTCGAGCAGAATACGGCCTGAATTATCAATATTTGCGGTTAACTCGAAACAGAATTCTGCTTCTTCAATCGAAATTTCCGAATCGTTCATATCTCAGCAGAAAGTTGCTTCATTCAACCAACAACAGTTTTCTTCGTGTAATAATAAATAGCCTTTGCTGCATAGTGGTCCTCCCAAAGTGTCACCCATCGTCCGAGCTTGTTTTTTCAATAATTTAAATTTTTCACACATATCCTTAGCACATTCGGTATTGTGTAACTACTAAAACGTTCCTCTAACTAATATATCAACTTTTAGAGTCATTTCAAATAAGTGATTTGTTATTAATGAGCATATACTGAACAAGTTTTTAGAGAATAAATTCGTTTACATGAAATTTTAAGTAATGACTTCAGAATCATTATCTGTTTTGGGTTTTTGGGGTCGTTGAATACAAATCCGGAAATTTGTATTTTTCACAAATATGAAAAATATAAAATTCAAAATTCAAAAGATACGAAATTTTAAATTTCATATTTCTCACACCGGATTATAGTTAGTATTCAGCGACCCTAAAAAGCACCGAGTAACAAGTTTCACAAAATTATATTCATTAGAAAAAACGTGCAACAAAGAGTTAACGTAAAAAGGGTCGTCGCGGACTGAAGAAGAAAACTGACTGAAAAAGACTGAAGGAAAAAAGAGAAAAATAACTTGAACAATAATATACAAAAATTATCGCAACAGAGATGTGGACTTGACTGGGTTTTCTGGGTGGCGAGAATCGTTCCAAATTTTCGACCGCGGGAATATTTTCTTTTTTATTGCAGTCCATTTTTATCGTGCGCGACCGTATGACATTTTGACAGTTTTTGACGCTTCGTTCGTACGTCAGCAAAAAGCCGCCCGCTCACGGGCAAAGTAATACGACTTAATCTAACGCCAGCTGACCGCTTTGTGCTGGACAATCTGCAGCAGCCGCCCTCATGTTAGACTGAGTTGTATTGTTCTTTTGTTAATTACGCGCAACGCGTGAACTGATAACAACCTTTGCTGACGCAAACGAGACGTCAAATCGCCAAAGTATCAAACTCACCTGGACGCACTGTCGCGGTCTCTTGGAGTAATCAACAGTCACGTCGCGCGACTGTCTGAGAACGAGTGCTGCGCTCGATCGAAAATGCAAATTGTGCGAGAGTCACGCGGTTTCTTATCGCGACGTCGGACAGATTTTTCGTTTAATTCTCGCGTCTGCGTAGAGTCGAGTCACGCTTCTTTCCGAACGTTCGGGCCGACAGCTAGCCGCGACGCTGCGTACGCGACTAACTCTTCGATTTGTACTTTGTACTATAAACAAATGTAGGGCCGTGCATTCGCGGGGGATTAGCGAGGGTGTAGCGAGAAACCGTAGCGGATCGCTTTCAATCGGAGTGCGGCGACATTTTATCACTTAGCCGCGTACGTAAAATAATGGTTCCGACCGTCGTGAGAAGAGACGTTCATCGTTACGTGTACGCGGTGTTGGGCTGTTTATGAGCTACATGAGAGCGAGGTTGTGTAAGTGCAATTTATTACGGAGAAGTGCTGCACGATTCGTCTTCCTTATGATATCCCCCCGCGTGCGATTTACTCCTCTCGGGAACTCGACGGTGTAAATCGCGCGCGCACGGCACAGTCGAAGGATCGGACGAACGCATTGAAAAGTGTCAAGTCTGGAAAACAGATAGGGCGAGGGAGAGGGAGAGAGAGAGAGAGAGAGAGAGAGAGAGAGAGAGGGAGAACATGTGCAAGTGCAATCGTGCACTTTGCGTCTCGTGTTATTTCGGTGAGCAAACTTTATGGTTTTAAACCGCATCGTTCAAGTTCCTCATTTCTCAATGCCCGGATAAAGTATTAAGCGGAGCCGCGGGATGCAGACGAAAGAGTCAGCCCCGCCGTTAATTTCTCCTTTTAGAGGAGCAATCCGGAGTTAAATGTGGAGCAGAAGTTGTACAACATTCTTGATTATACTCCGACTAAGCTGCCGAGGATAGGGGGATTTTCATTTCGTTTTACCGTTGCTAATATTTCATCGGTTAGTTGCAAACCAATGGGAACTTTTCATCGGCGCCATTTTCTGGGAACTAACTTTCTGGCAGTGAAAGATGGGGTCCGCTCGTAGAAGCTCGACGATGATCACGAGGCGCTTGGGAAATCGGGGAAACAATTCCCCGCCTTTTTTGGGGCCGAAATAAATCGCGGGATAGGATTGTCCGCGCGGCCATTCTTTCCTCGCGTCATTGTTGCCTCGTTCGTTCCGAATGATAACTCGATAACACGTCGATTATCCGGCCAAGTTCACCCTTGGCTCGGCCTCTCTCTCTCTCCGAGAGAGCCAACTTTAAATAAAATGGAGTTTTAATAAAGTTATCAAGTTTGTTGTATTTTGACACATTTAGCCCGGAGGAGAGGCGGGAGTCTCCGACTCCGGCGAAATATATAAAGTTTCGCAACACATTACGTCACGTAAAATACCTTCCAAAGTTTCCGCGTGATACTTTCTGCACGCCACGCCACGCACTCTCACGGAAGTTACATTTCTCTCGGCCTTCTCCTCTGATTAACGTTTCTTGTCTGTGGCTATTATAACACTTTTCTTTTTATGGTAAATATACAGAAAAGGGCACACCTCACCGATTCTTTTCGTTTTGAAATATGTTATAAAGGATGAAATTCTGAGCGACTTTTTTTCCGATACAATTATATATGGGGGTCGCTTATAGTCTCTGAGATATTTGACTCAAAAGTTTTATAATTGTACGTTGAAGTATATCTGAAGTAGACAAGCAGTTTTCATTCACTTTAAATATAGGAAACGGCAGATACAAGCGGGGGAGAGGCGGAACCCCCCTCCCCAAACAAATCCTAACCTAACCTAACCTAACTTATTGCATCTTTATATATTTTTGGAAACATTGTTGGAAAAAGTTCTCTTAAGATCTATCATCTGGCTCAACTTAATTTATTATAATATCTGCATATAATTAGATGTTGCGGCTTTTAAGGAGATCTTTTCAACATCGCCCAACAATATATAAAGATGCAATGAGTTAGGTTAGGTTAGGATTTTTTTGGAGAAGGAGCCCCTCTATGTATACACTACGTTTGGATTAACTGTTTGGATTGTACTGTAAATAACGTCAGCTTATGATATCTGGAATTTAACATCAAAATTCCAAAATTCCTTTAAAGTCAAATATCTTGGAAACTATAAGCGACCCCCACATGGTTGTATCAAGAAAAATCACTCAGAAGTTCATCCTTTATAACATGTTTCAAAGTGAAAGAAAAAACGATGAGGTGTATCCCTTTCTATATATTTACTTGTTTTATTTATTCAAAGCGTTTGTGTGTGTGTGTGTGTGTGTGTGTGTGTGTGTGTGTGTGTGTGTGTGTGTGTGTGTGTGTGTGTGTGTGTGTTGGTATCAACGAACCGATCGACACATTTTCACGACGACATTATCGCGCCGAATCGCGCGTCGATCGGGACTTTCGCTACATCGATTTCGCAATTCTCAGCGCGATAAGAAAGAATTACTCTCCTTTTCGCGCGCGACGCTGGAATTCAGGCGGAATGCAGTGCACTTTGAAGCGTGCAAACCTCTGTGCCGCTGTTATTGTTGAGAGGGCGAGGATCCACGACGCAGCCGATGCACCGACGGACACTTCGGTGCATTTTGAAATTGTGTTTTTTTCAGGTAAATTCAATCGCTCGCGAAATATGCGGCGAATGCACAAGCACGCGAGCTTTATTATCAGAGACAACGGACACGTCGGAGGAGCCACGCTCTCGTGAAGTTCTCGACTCGGGATCGGGTCGGGTCATCGGCCTGTTCATCGTCGGGAGCGACCGCGACCGCCGGCCGGGATCACCGCCGATCGAAAAACGAACACGAAAAACTTCCTTCCGGAAAGTTCGACAGAATCAAGGCAGCTCAATCAAAAGATGTACAGAGGAGCGAGAGTGGAGAATCAAAGTCAGATTATTATCGTAAGATATAACGTTTGGAAGAATTTACACTGGGTCAGCGCGTGTCCCCAATCAATATCGAGAGTAATCAAAAGTCTACGTTTGTAGTAATATTAGAAAGATACAACACTCATTCACTCGCACACATACACGTATAAAATATACAGAGAAGCGTGTCACACACACACACGCGCACATGCGGTGACTGAAATCGAGGAAAGAATGAGGAAACGCTGTTACCGCAAGAATGAGCTTTTTCGGACGGCCGTCGTGAAAAATCCCTTCTAACAAACAAACAACGTGAGACTGAAGAGGAGACAGACAGAGAGAGGGAGAGAGGGGGAGAGAGAGAGAGAGAGAGAGAGAGAGAGAGAGAGAGAGAGAGAGAGAGAGAGAGAAAGAGGATAACTCTCGTCTATGTAACGACATCGTTCGGCGAGAGACGAGTGTTTACGGAAGAGCGTAGAGAAACAAGAAAGAGAAACACTTCGCCGTCGTAATCTCGTTTCGTCGCGGAAGATATCAGCGGGCGAATCGACCGCGACGAGAAGGACGTGAGGATCGCCGACTTTTATTTCCCCCATTATACAGCGTTCGTCAAACAACGCGGCGGACAAACCGCGCGAGTCACCGTCGCAGCCAACGATTGTCATGTACATGCAGAGACCGGCGGAAATATAACCTCCAAGAGAAACTCGTCGGCAGAGAGAAACATATAGATAGATAGAGGAAGAGAGAGAGAGAGAGAGAGAGAGAGATATATATATCCTGACACACATCCCGACCGAGCCAACAATCAAAAAGTGGCCAGCGAAGAGAAGGGAACTGAACGACGGAGACGTCGCGACGATCGACGTTTACATGCTTCGAGCTGACCTGACGCGAGCAGAAACGCGAAGGCGTAGAAACGCAACCGGCGGCGTTTGCGTTCGAGCTAGCGTCTGAAGTTCTCGGCAGCGTCTCCCACTAAATCGTCACGGTGTGCGGATTAGGGCGAATCCTCGGCTACATCGGCGGACGACCGTCGGTGGGGGCCACCAACATGTCGCAGTCCGGACCAGGTGGACTGAGCGACGCTCAAGGGCAAAGTCAAGCTGGACAAACGACGGACAGTCAACAAACGACTTGCCAAAACGGCCGCGCTGAGCCGCTCGCCGACGCCGCCAAGCAAGACCTCTCCAACGGCTTTGAGAACCGAACGATGGACTACGAGCGATTCACCCAAGAACGAACGCAACATGCTCCGCACGTGGGACAGATTCAGGACCAGCAGTCCCAGCAGTTTCCGCAACAGCAGCAGCAGCAGCAGCAGCAGCAGCAGCAACAACAACCGGCACCACCACAACCGCCGCAACAGCAACCTGCCCACCCGCTAGTTCAATACCCGTCGGGGAGAAGGCAATCCGTGGGACTGCCGGAGGACAAGCACCCCACGATAGGTCAGTTGCCACCCCCGCCGTACGGCCCGGACAAAGGCAACGTCGACAGGGCTCAGCACGTGTCGCAGACGAGCACTCAGACGGTGCCGGTTCAAACGCAGCCGCAGTTCGCGCCCGACTACGATCAGAGTCAATACCCGCAGATACGCGGCCAGTTCGACGTTCGGTCTGCGCAGATCTACCCGCAGTCGCAGTACTCCGACAGAGCCGGTTACGTGACGAGAGACGTGAACTACCGCGACCCGAGCCTCTACGGCCAAAGCGGCGCGACTAACCCGATGTTCAGCGGCCAAGGTCAATACGTGACAGTCCAGCACAGCTCGCAGATACCGTCGCAGTCCGCGAGCCCACAACCGCCTTACTTCTCGGGCGTGGTGGTGCCGCAACCGCCCGGTTACGCTCAGTTCGGCACGCAGCCGCAGTACCCTTACAGCCAGTACCCGCAGACGGTGATGAACCCGGTGCCGTACAACCCGCACGCGGCTGGCATCTATCCCGCCCAACAATACGGCCAACAGTCGCCGAACCCGCAGAGGTTCTCGCAGGAGATCGGCCAGTACCAGACGCAGCCGATCATCCAGCCGATCGCGCAGAACGTGGCGCACGGGATCGCGATCCAGACGACAGAGCGGCCGTGCCGCGGCCCGAAGCCGATGGTGCCGCCTCGCGGCAATTCCAAGATCACCCATGACCCGGGTCACAGAAAGTCCGCGAGCGTCGACGTGCCGGCCTTGCAGAAGGCCAAGTACGAGCCGAGCGCGAGCCCGCAGCAGGAGCCGATTCATCGCAACGACGGCGCGATCCTGATGACGGGCGCGCCCATGGGACCGGACGGCCCACAGGATCGAAGATACTTGAACACGATCAATCAGAACCCCAGGACGAGGCAGGACGGACTCTACGTGGACGCGAACGGCGACCAAGCAGGCAGGGAGAAGCTGGCCGACACGATCGCCACCGAGTGCGGCCTGTACGTCTCGAGATCGGAGCACAGAAAGTCCATATCGGTGGACGTGACCACCAGCTTCCAAAGGCGCAACGACACGATAACTTTCACGTTCCCTGGCGACAATAATCAGGAGATCCTATCGGGCCGCAAAACCACCACGGTGGTGGACGCTAAGAGAATCGAGACCAATCAAGTGTTCCCCGCCGAACAAAGGAGACTGGAAGCGGGACTGCGGGTGTCACCTATGGCCTTTGACGCGAGACAAGAGAACCGTAAGAGCATAGGGACGGAGAGGAAGCCCGAGTGGGGCAACGTGAGTCCGAATCAGAGGAACGCGATCCCACCGGAGAATAGGAGGTCGGACTACTTCGAGGAGCACCGAAGGTCGCCCATGAGTCTCGAGGGCAAGAGAATAGAGGACGTGAGGAGATCACCTATGCCGTTCGTGCCGATACGCGAGGCCTCGAGCGATCGCGCCGGCCAGAAGAGCCCGTCTTTCATGAGCCAAAATTTTGAGAAGACCAGACAGGAGCTGGCGATATGGGCGGAGCAACGACAACGACAAGAGCACGAGAGGAGCATGATGCAAGGTCAGATATTCACTACCAGCCCTCGCTCGCGTAACCCCTCGGAGGAGAGGAGAGACATGAGGTCGATTCATCAGCCGGACGAGCGCAAGGACTCGAGAATGTCCCAGTCGGCCTTCCAACCGATTCCTAACATCAGTCAGAGCACCATAATGGAGCAACGGCGACACCTCAGACACGTCAGCGCCGATCTCACCAAGCACATGGAACTCACGAGGAAAGATTTCGAGGAGCAACCTATCACAGGTTCCGTCGTCAACCTGGGATCGGTGGCCAGCACCGTTTCGTCGCAGAGAGCCAGCCCGAATCTCTGCCATCAGTACCCGGCTCTCAGCGAAGCTAAGCTGGACACGAAGACCGTGCTGACCGTGGTGACGGATTTCGCTGAGAATATGACGAACACCAGCAAGCCAATCGAGCAGGTCGATCATATAATACACAGCCACCGCAAGAGCCACAACATCTCGTCCAACTTACTCACTCACAGCAAGAGTCAGACAGAAAACCTGCAGAACCCGCTGGAAGGCGAGAAGACTGACTCGCTTCAGACGCAGCAACAGCAACAGCCGCAGCAGCAGCAGCAGCAGCAGCAGCAGCAGCAGCAACACCAACAGCTACAGAACCAACAGCTACAGAACCAACAGAGTCTCGATTTAATATCCGAGAAGCTGAGCCAGTTCGAGCGCCAGCAGAGCGACCTCCAAGCCAAGCTACAATGCCTCCAGAATCAGAACCAGATATTGGACAAGGTGGCGCAGTTTCAGCACCAGCAGGGCGACCTGCAGGCTCGCCTGCAGAACCTGCAGAACCAGAATCAGCTGAACGACAAGAGCCACAGCAAGATGCCGGGCGACTTTGCGCAGCTGCCCATCGCGGCGGCGGCGGCCGACGCTCATCAGCTCCAAGCGAGCCCCCTACCCAACCACCAGGAACAATCGTCGGAGAAGAGCTGCGCGGCGCACAACCATCAGCCGGTGCACGGCCTCCATCAGACGCTCCTCACTACTTCGTACCCGCAAAATGCCGCCCTTCAGGCCTGCCAATCGTCCATGTGCGAGAAGCTGACCGGCCGCGCACAGCACGACGCTGCTGCCGACCCGAATTCCACTCAGATACCGAACATGTCGCAGATGCCATTACCGTGCCTGCCGCAATTCGATCGCGCCGACACGTCGCGCACTTCGTTTTCCCAGTTCCACCGACTCCAGTGCCAGATCGAGGGCCACGAGGGTGCTCCAGCGACGAGTGCCGGCCTACCCGCCGGCTCTTTCACCGGCACGCTGAAGAAGATACCGCCGGAGAAGCCGCCGAGGACGTCTTTGATAGTGCAGTCGCCGGAAGCGGAGGTAACGTTCGGCGAAAAGAACACCCCTACTCGTTAAAGCGCGCGCGCGCGCGCCCGCCCGCCCGCCCCGCCGAACCCTCCGCCCTCCCGAGCGCCCGGCGCTGCCCCTTTGTCGGGCGAACGCCGACGCGGAAATGCGCTGCTTTGCGTAAATTCAAATCGGAGTGGAAACACAGGTCGATCGGTGCGCGCGCGCGCGCGCGCGCGCGCAATCGGCTAATAATTACATGCGGGAATTCGGATCGTATCTTAATAAACGGCGCCGCGCTTTAACGTGCCGCGGCGCGGCTCGAACGAGCGAACGAATACGAGTGCGCGCCTGCGGAAAGCTCCTTTTGTGTTACCCGGAATGTTACGGCGGAATACGATGAGAAAGAGAAAGAGGGAGAGCCCGAACCGAGGAGATTGCGGAGGGGTTGATGGCAGCGCGGCCGGGGAGGGTTGGGAAAGCTAGCGAGCCAGCTAGCGAGGGAGCGAGATACGGACGAGATGCAGGCGGATAGGGATCCGCCGTTTGCAGTTTTTGTCGCGGCAGCCGAGTGGAATGAACTCGTTAGATATCAGACCCGATGTTGTCTTTGAAAACTTCGTTACGCGCGCCCTGTGTACCTTTCGCTCTACTTTCGAACCCGGCCGTTTGCCGTCTGCAGTCCCGACGTCCCACTGTCGCCGCCGTTAAACGCGAGACGCTTCCTCCTCTCTGCTCTTGTCTCCCCCCCTCGCTCTCTCTCGCTCTCTCTCTCTCTCTCTCTCTCTCTCTCTCTCTCTCTCTCTCTCTCTCTCTCTCTCTCTCTCTCTCTCTCTCTCTCTCTCTCTCTCTCTCTCTCTCTCTCTCTCTCTCTCTCTCTCTCTCTCTCTCCGTCTTGAGCGAGTCGTCTGACGACGCGACGTTATTCGCCCGGTTGCGAACGTGTTTCGAATGGCGAGAGCCAGATTTCCGCGGCCGCCCCGCGCCCTTTTCTCGTTCGCGGCCTCGTACCTACATGCTCTTTTCATAAGTTCTCGATCTTTCTACCGCCCCAGCGGGGGGCAGAGGAAGAAAATGGGAAAAGTGAGAGAGAGAGAGAGAGAGAGAGAGAGAGAGAGGGAGAGGGAGAGAGAGAGAGAGAGAGAGAGAAAAAGAGGAGCCGTGTGAAAATAGTTGGGGCGAGGTCTCCTGGTGGCGAGGTGGCGCCATCGAACGTGTGGGGTGCCGTGAAATATTAGGCAGCTTTGATCGGCCGGCGGTTCGCGCGAGCTTAAAAGTTTCAGTCGCGGTCAAATGTTGATTTGCGGGTCGCGGTTTTCCAACGGGAAAAGCTCGGAGCGCGAGCGCGAGCGCGAGCGGAGAAGCGAGGACGGCCTGCTCTCGCACGCTCAATTATAGGGACAAACGTAGCGACCGGTGACAAAATTTACCCTCTTCAGCCCGGGAATCGCGGAACGGCCATTATTTAAGCGGATGAACCGCACACCGGTGGCAGAAAAAGCGCGCGGAAAAGAACGCGCGCGCGCGCGCGCGCCTCATCTTCGCCAAGATACGACTTTTCCCGTCTGCTTTTTCCGCCGCCTTCTCTTCTCTCTTTCTCTTCTTCCTTCTCCCTCTCGCTTCCTCCCACGCGAATGGTAATCACTTGTATGGACCGCGCGCGCGCGCGGCATGAAAATGACGCGAGAAATCCTGAAAAGCGGAACAGCTCTTCATTGGGGGTAGCGGGATTTCCAGCAGAAATGAAGAGAGTTCTCCCCTTGTTTTTCGCCCGCGCGCACGATTATCCTTGATTTCAACTCCGTAGAATATTTGTCCGTTCGACCCGGCCGGCCGGCCGGCTGACGACGGATGGACGAACGGATGCTGCGAGAAGCGCAAATAATATTTTCCCGTCGTGTTTGTCGCGTTGCGGTCATTCGTGCCGGCGAAATTGGGTTACGCTGCGGCGGCGGCTCCGTCGGGTCGTCCGCGTATGAACAGCGTATGAACATCCGCGTCCGTTCAAGAGAGAGTAAAAAAAAAAAATCCTGCCGTCTGGGAGGATGACTCGCGCGGCCGGAGAGCGCGAGGAAGTAAAGAGAATTTCGCGTTTCCGCGCGGTGAAACGCGTCGACTTAGGCCTGGTCTACGATACGTGTCGTAAGTTGTAAGCCGTAAGAATTACGGCGAATCACAGTCGATTATTAGAAAAATAATCGGCTATAATTGATCAGTTCTTACGGCTTACAGCTTACAACACGTATCGTAGACCAGGCCTTATCCGCGAACGGCCCCGACAGCGGCGGATTTCAGCGAGCGACGCGACAGACGTGTCACACGGTGTCAACGGAATTATACGTCCCCCCCCTTCCCTCCTTCTCTCTCGCTCTTTCCTTTTTTTTGCTCAACGCTTCTCTCGCTGATCGATCGAGCAAGACGCTATAAGATTCGTACGCCGCGCCGCGGCGAAGCGTGACTGGCAACGCGGATATCAAGTGCCGCGCGCGCTCGTTGCACGAGTTTCATTCTGCGCCGCGCGCAAATATTCGCTCATTTTTCCGCAAACGTTCTGACAAACGCGTATCGAGATATTCCCTGTTCGAGCGAATGCCTGTGCCGTACCCTCTCGCTTCTGTTTAACATTCCACTTCGCGCAGGACGTCAGCGCGCGCTTTTCCCGCTCGCGCGGTGAAGATCTCCGGGTGCGCCCGGAAACGCTCGTCTATCGACTGATTATTTCCACGTAGGTATCTCGTCCTTCCGAAAGTCATTTCTTCTGGAAATATATTTATACTTACACACACACACACACACACACACACACAGACTCGTCTCGCTCGCTAACGCGTGTCAATCGCCGCGCCGCGCCGCGCACGCCTGTGTTTATATTTCAAATGCACTTTCGCGGGATCGCGTGAAATTGTTTCAGAAACGTTCGGTTATCGAAAAATACTCGATTATTTTTTTTCTTTTTTTCGAATATCGAATCGCTCAAGTGCCCGAGTGTTTTTCTTTCTTTTTTTTTTCGGCCAGCGATACGACGGAATAATTGCCGCGCTCTGGGAAATGAAGTTATATTTTCCGAACATGTCGCGTCTCTTTTCTCTTTTTCGGGTCCTCCGAGCCGGTTTCAAACACACACGTCGATGAAACGAGTCATTTGGGGCGCAAGAGATCCGTGTCGAAGATCGCTCGGCAACGAAAGAAACACTCGGCGGCGCGCGTGAAGCCGAGAGAAGCGCGATGATTTAATGGGTCTTGGCCCGCGCCGAAGTTGGAACGGGCGAAATTGTCCCGCCACGCCCTAAACTTGTACTTTTCGGCCGAAGGGAGGGCGAATTAAGTCGGGAAATGTTATGAATAACGGCCCATCATGAATTAAATATGAGTCGCTCTCGTGTCGCGTGTACATCGCCGGATGGCGTTGCGAGAATAAAAAGAGAGAGAGAGAGAGAGAGAGAGAGAGAGAAAAAGAAACGCCAAAGAAACCAGAAAAAGTCGGCCGTAGTGGGCGAGACAAAGGGACGCAAAATCAGGCGAGGACCGTCGACGACGACGATGTAAGCGACTCCGTCGTGTATACGTAGAAAAACGAGAACCCCTCTCCCCCCCCCCTCGATACCTTCCCTTTACAAGGCGTTCCCTCCTTTACGACGGGATTATTCGGGATTTTATGCGCTCGCTTACGCGTCGGTATCCGCTCTCGCTCGCTCGGCTTGTGATTAAAAGAATCGGGGGCAAGTGCAACGAATTGTTAAATTCGTTCAATTACGAGACCTTAAGAGCGTGTCGGTCACGTGTGGTGATTACAGCGTCGGCGAGCGTTCACCTCCGCACTCCTGCGGACGTTGTTGCACGACGAGGTACGATTGTGGGCGGAACGAGTGTCCGTGATCACACCAGACGAGTGCATTCCGAGACACAGAGGCAGAAAATTGCGGACAACTTTCCCATCCATTGCATCGGGCTTTAAGTGTACTTGACCAGCCATTTGACAAGCAGAAACGCATTCCTTTTGTAAATGGCCGCGCGTCGCCGCGCCGTCGAGACATCGAGACGACGTGTCGTCGTTCAAAGTAGCTGGGAAATTTGGGCTTTTCCTCGCTCGCGACAGCAAGGAAAGAGAGAGAGAGAGAGAGAGAGAGTTTATCCATTCACGCGTAATAAAGCAACACGATTCAACCTCAGTCGGCAGCTTAAGATTTTCCAACACAAAGCGGTCGGCTTAACGCTCTCACGCTTGTGGATGCAAATGAAAACGTCGAACCGTCAAGATGTCACACAGCTACTCGAACACGACGGTCGACGATCGCTCCTCGATCGCAATCGGCAATCGACGACTGAGACGAACGGCGCTTACGCGAGAAATGTTTGCAATAAGTCTCCTCCCGTCGCAGAAAATAGCCGAGCGTATTTGAACCTTGCTGGTACATCGGTCGCGCGAATATAAAGTGGGAATCGACACGTGCTCGGCGAGCGACCGATCGCCGGAATTTCTCGAATCTCCCGTCAAAATCTGCGAGGTAACGAGGCCGGCCAATAACCGGTATTCCGTTGTCTCGTCGGACGTCAAGCCGATGGCAGCTTCCGCTGGCGCGCTGACGAACGCACTGCGCGAGTTCGCGATACGCGTCGCTCAGAATGAACGCGAATTTTTCGACGAGGGCCGAGCTACGTCTCTCTCTCTCTCTCTCTCTCTCTCTCTCTCTCTGTCTCTCTCTCTCTCTCTCCATCCGCTGGATACGCGCTTTTCATCGTTCGTAGGTGGTTACCGCCGGCGCGTGCACAACGCCCGTAAAACTCCTTTCTGCGTAACTCCGGCGCGCCCGAAACAATGTCGGTCCTTTTTGCGCGAACCGGTATCGCAGTGCTTTTGTTACGCCGGGGCGTTTCGCGCGATCGCTTCGCCAACTGGTTGCGCGCGCGCGCGAGCTTTTACAAATCCGCCAGCTACCGCGGCCAGGAGTTTTCGCGAAATTCCTGGCGTAACTTTGCGCCGCCACTTAGCCGCGGTGCTTACAAATTGAGACTAACGGTCCCGGTTTATGCGC